GAATTGATTAATGACAAATCTGATTAATTGTCCCAAACTGGACAGACTGTTTCACAACACAAATATTGCGTTTCAGAAACGCATAACACAGGCCTAATTCTGAAAACTGACAAGAAAATGGCTTCAACCAGAGATCTGTCAGCTGAAAACAATAAGAGGAAGACATTACTCCGTTAAGAAGGTGATTTACAGAGTGAGGAGAAAGGAGGTTTAAATTTGAAGAGTTTACGGCAAGACGGAGCGAAGTCGACGTCAGGATAGAAAACTCAAGATTCACAAGAAAAATGGAGAGAAACTGGATCAACTGGGGAAGGTTTGATGAAGAGGAGACGACCGAATGGAAACATCTGCAGGCCGGAGGAAAGCAGCACATCTCCAGGCACCGACGATCTGGGGCAACGTGTTGGTGAAGCTGCAGCGCATCGTTGCCTCCACAGGAACAGCAGATGTTCACATTTTCCTCATTCCACCAATCTGAGGTAAAAGTTCGGTGATGATGCAACGTCCCTCTGACTGAAGAGCAGCCCAACATCCCTCAAGTCCTGAATATTTATGACTCAAGTTAAAGGAGCCTCCGTTCAGCAGAGCTCCTTGTTGGCCAACATAAGACGACGTTCGTCCCAATTGACGTTTTCAATTAAAGTTTTTTCGCTACGTCTCTTTCTAGGTGGTCCTTAAACTCGAGGTCCATCCGAGTTTCATAGGTTTTGGACGAGGTTCTGTTTTCTTTGGATCAGTTTATCACGTTTCAAAATCCGGAACAATATTAAAATCAACTTTTCACCATCTTCCTCAGGCATGAGCTACATTTTAACAAAATCACAATATTAACATGGCGACTTTGGTTTTTTCCATCTTGATTTTTGCTACAAAAGTTAAAACAATAACTAAAAAGATGGACAATTGTCCTTCAAGAGTAGCAGTCTGCATGGGAATGAAAAAAGGAAAAAGATGCAACATCCAAACGTCCAACAGCAGAAAAAGGTCACAAAACGACTCAACTGAATTATAAAAACATGAAAGTTGTATTTTTAAAAGTAGACGTGCATTTGAAGTAGAAGTATTTGCTTTGCCAACAAGAGAAAAATCAAGAGAACATCCTCGTTGAATGTGGTTCTTCATCTTCAAAAATCTGCATGTTGATCTAGATTAAAGTTTGACAAGCTGCTCCACAGAGCTCGACTCGCCTGAATTTAGAAACATTCACCAAGCTTCTTACTTTTCTCTCAGGCTGCGGACCAATCACATAATCCAATAAAACATCGTTTATGTTCCCATTATGGTAAACGTGCTTCAGATTTAAATCGTTCCACCACAGACCGAGATCCAGCTTCCGATCTTTCCGCAGATGTTCCTTCTCACATCTTTGAGCGGTACCTGAACGCATCACGAGGGAAACGCCACTCTGCTGCAGCCAATCGGCGGCGTTGCTGGGACAACAGGTGGAATGTCCTTCACTTCTCACAGACCTGAGAGGCTTTTCTCTGCATTTGTTATCAATTACTCCTGTGTGTGTGTGTGTGTGTGTGTGTGTGTGTGTGTGTGTGTGACGTATGGCTCGTCTCTCTCCCCTCTAAGAGATTACAGCAGCAAACACATTAAATAAAACTATGGAAAAAAAAGTTAATTTCCCTCCCGTCACCCCACAAAAAAAAAAACATAGTAATAATTTTTAAATCTCAATTTTTCTAGGGAAAAAAACAAAAAACCTTGAAAATTTCTGAGCTCCAAAAATCAAATTTCCAAGTTGCAGCTTCATCTATAAAACACTTAAATTTGAAAAAACACCTCAATCAGAAATAAAAAAACTTTGACAAAAAAATAAAAAAAATTAGATTAATCTCATTTTCTAGAAAAAAAAAAAAAAAAGTGAAAATTTCTGAGTTTGAAGAGTCAAACTTCCAACTTTACAAGATCAGAAATTTCTCAGGTTTTTTTCTATGATATATTGAATAAATCTTAAAATTTATGAGGAAATTTAAGATCAAAAAGTGGCAGAAATGTACTTTTTCCCTTCTTCCATTACTACAATGGGCCGGATACGGACTTGTAAAACTCAGTTTAAGTGAAGAAACGGAAATGATCCCTTCTGCGCTGGATGGAAGTCCAACCACTCGTCACATGCTGATGTGATGATGCAACATGATCAGAGTCAGTATCGTTGAAACGGCACCCATTCATTCATTCATTCGTTCATTGTTAGCATTGGAGAAAAGCCAATTCCCACTTCACACCTTCCAGACAACTCGGCTGTAACCTTTTACCCTACAGAGTACTAAGGCCAGAAGAGTTTTTCTGTTTTTAATTGAGATTAAACTCAAAATACCAGAATTCAATATTACCAGAAGTTGTAAAATTACTTGTGTGTAGAAGTAATAAACTTACTACTGCATTCTTTTAATAATGACTTTATTCTCATATTTTGATTACATGATTTCTCGTATCACCACAACTTTCCGAATATGAATTCGCCTCCAGCTTTATTCTCGAATTAGGATTTTTCTCATATCATTATAACTTTGTCATGCGACTTTCTCTCATAGTACGACTTTTTTCCCCTCAATATGACGCATCTTTTTGTAGGACTGATTTCTCATTACTTTTTTCTCGTAATTGAATTTTTTTTCTTTAATGTCCCCAATCCTCTGTTGGATGCCCTAGTGGCCAGGGGTGGTAACTGCAACGCAGGAAAACCAAAATGTTCAAATTGTTCATCTAAGCAGCTTCTGATAATGGGCTGATGGTGCATTCAAATGACGATGCCAGGTAGGAAATATATAAAAAACTTTAGTCACAAAGAATTAAGAATGACAAAAAACTAAAAAATTCAGACTATACCAATCTGGAGGTTAAAATCAGTTTTTAAAGAAAGTTTTTTATGGGGTTATATTTTTAAAGTTATGTCAGAAAAATTCCCACAATATAATGTAGGGAGAAAAAAAGAGATAATTTGTAAAAACTAGTGATTCATAAATGCTCTGGGAGTTTTTCTACAGTTCTGAAATCAGGCTGAGCAGCTGAATGAAGGACGCAGCTAGCCGACCGCCTGCGCTCCGATAATCTCCGTTTCCAGATATCAGAGGCTGAAACCAAGCCCAACGATGACATCACCTCTCATTATCAGCACCAGTAGCGATAAAGATCCAACTCTGACACAATCAGAGATTAAACCGTCTTAGAGACAAACAGATAAACACCAGGAGAACGTGATGGGAGTCTGAACTTCCTGAAACCAGCAGGGTGAGCTGAGGAACGACTGTTTACACACGGCGCCATGGCAACGGCAAGCCGAAAGAGCAACTCTACGTGTGTGTGTGTGTGTGTGTGTGTGTTTGGTTTCTGGTTGAGGACGGGAGCAGCCGGACGGACGCTTGGTTAATGTATCACAGAAACCGAAGGAGTCCAAACTAAAAAGAGTTTCAGGAAAAATGAAAGGAACTGCTGTGCAAGTGGCCTAAACAAAGTCCAGATCCAAACAGAAACAGAACAGAGTTCATTTACCTGCAAAATGATGGAATAAAGAAAAATGTCCTAAATGGAGAAACAAAACACAAAAACAGTCAAGCAAATTAAATCAGCCTTAGCAAGACAAAGATTTATAATGAAAACAACCAACAAAAATAAATTGGCTGCAAGCGGCTCGTTGGACCATTTCCATAGAAATGACTCTTAACTTGGGTAAAAACTGATACTTTTAAATGTACATATAAACAACAAATGTAGCTTTTTTCCCCATGGAATAATTGCATTTGATTTCTGAACCAGAATGTCACTAAGAGTGTCAGCAACATGTTTTAAATCAAAGTTTCTTGTCATCAAGTTAAAAACAGAGTTAAATACATTTTCCATAAAAATCAACATCCCACAGAAACTAATGACTATATTCTCATAATTAAACAAATTTTACTTTGTTGTGCAACTCTCAGAATGGATGATGGAAATAAAAAAACCTTTTTGAAAACATGTTCTGTTATTTCCTTTCTAGAAAACGCATTCAGTTTTTAAGTCAGGCCTAAACGACTTTCATTGTGATTAAATAAACTTTGCAGAAAATCTAAACAGCCTGAAGGTTAAAAACAAACTGCAGGACAGAACAAGATTGGAAGAGTAAAAGACTAATGTTGTACATGAATACAAATCCTGCAAAATGCCAAGAACACTGCTGCATAAGGAAACAAAGTAAGGCAAGATAAATTGGAAAAAAAAAAAAAAAAAAAAAACAATTTCCGTTTTCTTTATCTTCTCTACCAGAAACTGGACGACAAAAGTCTTCAGATTCGTTATTTGGTCCCAACTAGCCACAGAGACGTCATAATTCATTTTGTCATTTTTATCAGTTTTGGATATTTAAAATGTCTTGCAGTGTTAAATATTCATTAGAATTTAAAGTTTATTGATATTATGCTATTATCACTATATTTCTTGCAAATGGCCTCAAAACAGTATTATCGTTCATCTCAAAAACGTCTAAATTTATCATCCAGAAACATTTGTTATTGTGACACGCGTAGCAAAATATGTCATCTTTCTGTTGAAAGCAGCAGAACAGATTACAAACATGAGCTCATAAAACACTACGAATCGACAGCTGAGCGCTTCAGATCCTGTTGGGCCTGTTCTCAGAGCGCTAACCGATTCCTGTCGTTCCAGACAGACAAACACTTTCACATTAACAGATAAAATAAACTCTCCTCACTGAGCCAGAAAGGAAACCTGACCCCGACATAATGTAATGAGCAGTGATGAAACAGGGAAAAACCGAACAAACCCCGTTTGCATACCACAGTTATTAACACACGTTATTTAGCAATCAGAACCGAAGAGAGAGCTAGACGTGGCTCAGATGGAGGAATGAGGGAAAAATCAATCATTAAATATGTAAATTTGATGTTTGAATCGACGGCTGGGAGTAAATGAGGATTATCTAGTTCAGAGTTTTGGTTCAGGGTCAGTTCTCAATGATTTTAACGACCAGCTGGGACGGAAAAATGAAACACTCAGCAGGAAAAACTGATATCTTCTGCAGGAATTTGTTAAAAGTAAACAACTTAATGTGACAAATGCTGCAGCAAAGGTTGATTTTTCCGATGAGATCAACTCAGCCATGATGCAACAGAGGCCTGACGACACACCCGCAACACAACCTGCTGCTGGCAGGGATCCAGGCAAGATTTCACAATCAGGAAGGTTCTTCCCACACATTTACGGGTTTTTTTCTGGGAATCCTGTAAACTTTAGACATGTTCTGCTTTTTAAAGCTCTGCAAATACAAACCAAAAGGAGTTTGTTTTCCCACTGAACACAGGACGCCTAAACGCCTCATTTACAGCCCAGCCAGCGTTTCTGATACTCCTGTTCATCGACCATGAAACTTTCATTTGAAGCCCCAAGAGGAGGCAGTTTGGCACGTCTCAAACAAAATCTCCCTTAAATGCCAATTTTCACCAATTAGTGGGGCAGACAGACCGTTGAGGCTTTTCTTAAAGAGACAGGAGCAAAAAAGACATTTATTCAATAAAAAGAAAAATGTGTTCAATTCAAATGAGAACTAGCTAAATGAGTTTTATGTCCGTCAGGTAAAGGTGCAGATTATTGCAGAGGTTTCTAAAGCTGGGGGTCGGAGTCTGTTTGTGGGCGAAGAAACATCAAGTTTTGGGTCTTTACCCCCAAATATAACGATCAGAGCTTCAGACCAGTAATCAGCAGGAGCTGAGCTGGTTTTTTAATTGGACAGCCAGCTGGTTGGAAAGTAAAAATCAAAACCTGAACAAAGGCTGCAGAATCTGAAAGTTCTAATTTCCCAGCAGACACTGAAGGCAACACTGAGTGAATCTTACAGGCAGGACTCAGAGTTATTCCTCTGAGTGCTTCAAGTTTTATTAGACTGAAGACCAGGGGCCTCTAAGAGGGGCTTTAAACCGCAGCTAACTGCTAACAGATCCAAGATCAGACCGATAACTACTGGTACCAATAAACCCAAACTGGTCCAGTACCAGTGTGTCCTGATGCCAGTAAGTCCAAACTGGTCCAGTACCAGTGTGTCCTGGTGCCAGTAAGTCCAAACTGGTCCAGTACCAGTGTGTCCTGGTGCCAGTAAGTCCATGTATATTTCTGGTCTACATGTTGGATCCATATTTTAAAATCAGTGATAGTCCCTCATTGTTTACTCCATAAACGTTTAACCAGCTTCATCAGTGAAACTCGTGTTAAAACTGCTGCTGGTTTGAACTAATTGATCAGTAAATATTGGCTTTGCCACATTTACAATCACATCCGACTGAGCGAACCGTCAGGAAGGTGAACGCTGCAGCGACCAGGGTGGGCAATATTTGATTGATGAGGCCATTACAGCGTTTCCGTGGCGATAAGGACGCTGCGCGTGTAACGAGGAACACCAATCGTAGAAACTGAGGAGAGCTCAAACAGCAGCTCATCATAAATTGAAGCAGAGGCAACAAAACGTGACGTTATCTGCAGAAACAAACGATTACCGGCCGATCCTTTCAGAGAAAATTTTATTTGCCGTTTCTGTTTTGTTTATTTAGCAAATTTAAAATCCATTTTCAGTGTTAAATGTTAATTTGAATTTAAAGTTTATTGATCTTTAGAAATGCGTTCTTGCACCGTTATCGTTATTATGCCATTACTATAATATTATTTATAGTAAGATCACTACAAAATGATATTAAACCATAATATCGTTAATTGCAATAACTTCTGGACGATAAGCAACATTTGTTAAATTTTGAATAAAAAAATGTTGAAGTAGTTAAATGAAAAGTTGCCAATTTTTTTCATCCAATTACTCGTCAGAATAGTTAATTAGTAAGATAATCGTTATGCGCAGCCCTACTTTAAGCACATTTCTAATTTAAGAGAGATTTTATCGTGTAGCTGCAGCACGTTCAGCTCTGCTCCCACTCAGTCATTTCCTCTCCTGTGGTGTGGAAAACCAAAATGAGCGCACACCACTGTTTTACGCCTCTGAATGCGCTGTGACCTCTCCTCCCTCCCGCCGCCAGCCCTCAGAGGTGCAGCCAGCAGCTTTCCTTCTCTCCCTCTGAACGCGCAGTGAAAGCTGGGAAGTCCTCTGAGGAAGAACGACTCCTGAGGAAACGTCAGTCGACGCTTCGCTCTGAACTCAGAGGAAAAGAAAGGCTGCAGTATTCATGAACTTTCTGAAAAGTTTTTACAGCCAACTTTAAAACCCGTCAGCGGATCGGCACCACCCTCCTGAGCCAAACCGATGGAGAGAATCCAGCAGCTTTCTGAGAACATTTCCAAGTAATGCAATGATAGCAGCATCTTCACAGGTCTGCCTAAAAAGTTAGAGATGGGCAGAGAACCCAAAAACTGTAATCAAGTAAAAGTTAAAGTTCCCAGCCAAGAAGTTATTCCAGAGTAAAAGAGTATTTGGTAAAAAGTCTACTCAATTACTGACCAAATATCAATCATTTAATATCCAAATTATGTGGAAATGTTGGTATTTTATATGACAATTCTTATAAGTAACAAACAACAAAAATCAGGAAAGAGAAAATGTTTCCAAACCAGTTAATGAAACTTTAATAGAAACTGCAGGTCTGTGTCTGGTGAATATTTGGTTAAAACATGTTTGTTTTCATTCAGTGGGTAGAAAATCCAGAAGTTTTACTCAAGACTAGAGATACTTTATAATAAAATTACTCAAGTAAAAAGTACAGCATAGGAAAAATAAAAGAAAACTAAAAGTAATTTCTCAATAAAAGTTACAAGTACAGAAAAAAGATTAAAATGAATTAAAACGCATAATTTCCATGAACAGCTACATTCATAAAGGACCGCCATGTTTTTGGAGGAATGTTAAAACTTCTCCATGATGCTAATCAAGTCACACAGTTTTCAACACAAACCATGCTTGACGTTTTTTTGTTTGTTTTAACAAATTCATTGTAATTTTTTTCTGTTATCTTTTCTGCCTGTCCGTCACAAAATCCTTGCTTTCGTAACAAATCTAACTTTTGGTTGAAAAGTTGACACTTTTTCTTGAAATGGCTGCCATCTATGTTTGTCCACTTCAGGATGACCAGCTCCCCCTGCTGGATGGAGGCCAAACTACAACACTAAGCGGAGGTCTTACCGAACGTTACAAGTTGATGATTTTCACTAATTTTAATCTAATAAACCATTAATCGACAATTAACCTCAAGTCGATTAATTGTTTGCATCGCTAATACTAATACATTTTCCATACCTTTGTTTCACTTGATGACATTTCAGCATATTAATTTTCTTACAGGTTTTTGACGTTTCCACTTTAAATCTTAGAAACATGGAGGTCCGATCAAAGGACAGGAAGACACACCCGGTGAAGCCCGGAGGCGGCAGGAGGTGAATCAGCCTGTTGACTGAAGGCGAAGATGTTCAAACAACTCAACCCGAGTGTTTGCTAAGAAGTGAAAGGGGGTTTGAATATTATAATGGGCTGCTGGAAGCATTTTATCTTGCGGTTTGAATGCCGGCAGACCGGGAAGCGGACTACAACACAAGGCATTCTGGGTAAGAACAACCAAAACAAACGAGTTAGCTTAGCACTAGCGGGAGAAAAGACTTAAAAAAAAAAACTAAAAACAAAAGTCAAATCCGCCATCCGCTAAAATCTGATGCCACTCATCTTTTGTTTACATTTCATGAAACAGGAAGTTGCACTCAGTGTCTTCTTCAGAGGTTTTGGTGTCGACTCTTTCAGTGGTTCCTGGTGCAGCGCCGCCACAGGCGGAGAGGGAAACAGGTTGCCCAAACGGTTCGGTTCGTTTGACTCTTCAATCCACTGCATATTTGTTTTTTCAAAATCATGGTTAACTCTACTTTCCGATCTTAACTCCTCCCACGCCACTCCCAGTTCCTTCCTGCCGACTCACGCCTCTGGTTACAGAAGGAGGAGACCCTCCACGAACTGAGAGGAGGATGAATAAAGAGAAGATGGATGTTTGCTCCTAATCCTGCAGGGCAGGCTTGGACAAATCTGATCCGCCGAGGTTTTCTAAAGAATCACAGCGAGTGACGAGCCGAACACCTCCAAACAAACTGGAGCAGAAACCAGTGAAAACCAGTAACCAGTGATATGCGTCCTGTAGAAACGCTTCGACAGAAACGCACCGATCTGGACATTTCCAGGCCAATATCGATTCAGGTTTATCTGACCTGCTGACTCCTGCTTTCTGTCAAAGAGGAGAAAATGCTTGTTAGAGGAAAATAATCTGAATCCAGCAGAAAACCGTAAAACAAACAAAAAAACCTGCGTCATGGTTGATGTTTTCAACCAGGGGGAGTTTATTAGTTTTTATTATGGCTGGGCAACAAATTGATTTCATCTATGAATTTCTTTTCAGCTTTTAGAGATGTACTTTTTGAGAAATCTGTATCTTTTTCCCACCAAAGCACTCCTTGGGTTTCCACAATTCATAGCGATGTCAGCACCCCCACTTGTTTTACAGTTTCTATGTATTTGCACTTTAAATTCAGGTCAGTTCTACAATGGATTAATATGTTTTTATGTTTATTTTAATTACAAGAATAAAAATCATACTATGAGAAGAATAAAGTAGTAATATTAGAAATCCAGCACAAAAAATAAAAATTAAGACGAGGAATGTCGAGCATCTTGTGAGGTTATACTTTGGTAACAGTTTTAGAGGTAATATTTAATCTTTCAAAATACCAACATCGTCTGTAGCAGGACTTTGAAACAATTATGTTTATTTCAATAAGATTCTGATAACTATAAGCTTTTTTCATTTTATTTTCTCATTAATAAAAATTATCATAGCCTGACTTTAATATTCAACCATCCAACTCACAGAAGGGAAGATTAAAATAAGAGCCACTTAAATTTTTTAAAATGGCAGTAAATATTTTCAAAGAAAAGAAAGCGAGCAAAAAAAAAAAAAAATTATTTTAAGCCATGTTGCCCAGTTTAGTTTTGATGCTTTAAACAGAAAATTCAACATTTAGATCAAAGGTGGTGAATCGGGCCGGTTCCGATCGCCAACAGTTGATAGGTGCTACTCTAAAAATAAAGAAACAAAATGATTGCGGTTTCTCTCCCACAGAAACTCAATGACCCGTCAAGAAGAGCTGCTAAAATCAGCTACTTTCATCGATTGTCCACCTGAAAGTTCCTGCATTTTCTGAACTCAGCATGAATGAAAACCCAGACAGCAGGTGTGCTTCATCTGCTGCTCCTTAACTCCACCCAGTCCTGGATCTACCAGCAATCATTTCTAATTTAAGACCTTTGATGCATCTCACCTCGAAGCAGGAAGGGTTTATCACCATCAGGTCTTAAAAAGTAAATTAAATCAAATAAACAGCTGCTGAGAGGATAACACTGATGCATCGATGGAGTTTATGAGCTTTAATTAATGAGGAAACCACATTAAAATCTGCGTCAAGTAATTTAAAAAAGAGATGAAACATTTTTAACCAGTAATGGGAGAAACTAAAGCTAAAGGAACTAACAAAACTTAAATATTACAGTAAAATTATGCT